CCGCCGCCCTCCTCCTCCTCCTCCTCCTCCTCCTCCTCCTCCTCCTCCTTCGCGCGCTTCGCGTCCCTCGCGGCGTCCCACCAACCGCGGGGTACAACCACCGCGTCTCTCTTCGCGCCGACGACCGGCGCGGCGGCGTCGTCGTCGTCGCTCCCGTCGTCGCTCCCGTCGTCGCTCCCGTCGTCGCTCCCGTCGTCGCTCCCGTCGTCGTCCTCGTCGTCCTCGTCGCTCCCGTCGTCGTCCTCCTCTTCCTCGTCGCCGACGAAATCCTCGTCCTCGTCGTCGGATCCGCCCGAGTCCGACGCGTCGATCCCGTCCGCGGCGGCGCCCTCCCCGCCTTTCCCCGCGGCTCCCTCCTCCGCCCCCTCGTCTCCGTGGGCCCCTTCCTCCCCGCCCCCGGCGGCGTCGCAGCGCTTCGCGAGCCACCGCCGCACGCCGTCGAGCTCATCCCGCCCGATGTTCGCGAACTCCAACGGCGCGGGCGGTTTCGCCTTGACCCCCGGTTCATCAGGTTTCGCGCCCTCCTCGGGCTCCGGGGTGACGACCAGGTCGAACGTCGACGACGTCCCGTCCGCGCGCTCGAGCCGCAAGTCCGCGATCGCGTCGAACGGCAAGTACGTCGCCGGTCGATCCGCGAACGCGAACCCCTCGTCGATCAAGAAGAGCTTCCCGACGTTAAACTTCACCGTCGCCTCGACGCACCCTTTTTTTTGTCGGGGCGGAGTTGAAAGGCGTCAGAAGCGGAGTTGAAAGGCAGGCGTCGCGGCGCGGCGGGATTGAAAGCGAGGGACCCTGGGCGGAGAGAGAAAAACGCCGGGAGAGAAAGTCCTCAAGGATCGGCGTTCACCACGCCGACGCGGTCGTATGGGGACCAGTGTATATGATAGGACGCAACCTTTTCCGCCGACGCCCGCGAAGACGCGCTTCGTCCCCGGCGCGCACGGCGCGAACGCTCTCCGTCCGCACGCGCGCTCCATGAGCGCGACGCACGCGCGGACGGGCCCCTCCGACCCGCGCAGCACGTCGTCCACGCCATCGGCCATCGACAGCGTCGCGCCGTCCCCGCCGCCGCCGCCCCTCGCGCGGTGGATCACGCCGACGGGCTTATCGTTCGGTCTGACGGTCGACGGTCCGCGCGAAGCGACGAACGTCGGGGCGGAGTTGAAAGGCGTCAGGAGTGGAGTTGAAAGGCGTCGCGGGCGGGGATTGAAAGCGAGGGGTGGGCGGGGAGAGACGACGGCAAAAGTCCTTAAGGATCGGCGTTCACCACGCGAACGGGGTCGTACGGGGACCGGTGTAACGACTAGAACGCGCCTGACTTGCAGCAGCAGCGTCGTCAGCTTTTGCTTCCCGTGGACGGGCGCGAACGCGGGGTCGATCGCGACCATCACGCACGTCGTCTCGTTGCTGTCGCCCATCTCCAGCGCCATGAGCTTCCGCACGTGCGCCTTGCGAATCAGGTGCGTCGTCGTGCCCTTGGGCGTGGTGGACACGAGCGCGAAGGCGTCGTCCGAGATCTTGACGTCGAAGCGTCCGCGCGGCGTGCCGAACGAGACGGGCGCGGACGTCGAGAGCGTCACGTCGGCGTCGGCGATGGACGGCGGCGGCGGCGGCGGGGCTTCGGACTTCGGCTCGGTCTTGATTTCCTCGACGGCGTCGATCGTCTCCGTCGTCTTCGCGGTCTTCGCCGCCGCCACGAGAGCCGCGGCGACGGGGACGAGCGACGCCGCGGTCTCCGCGACGAGCGCGTCCGCGCTCGTCGTCCCGCCGTTCGCGTTCTTCGTCGCGACGTGCGCGCGGAGGACGCTCAGGGTGCGCTTTAAGCTGGACGTCGCGGAAGGGGACGCGTCGATCGCCGCGGCGAGCGCGGCGAGGGGATCGCAGGCGAGGACGCCGGTCACCGCCATCGCGACGTGAGGACGGACGGACGGACGCGCGGTGGGATCTGATGTCTGTCGCGCATCGTTTGAAACCTCGAATCCGCCGACTCTGCTGGACTCCACGTTTTTCGATGACAGGATGCGGGAAGAACAGGCCGCCGGACGAGACTACGACGCCGCGCCTACATCACGTCGTCGTTCACGGGACGTAGTAGACAGTTCGCGCGCTCGCGTCGTGTAGTAGTACTGTATAAAAACACCCGCGGCGACCTATCGCGGTGATCGACCTATCGCGCGCACAGCGCGAGGTCTCCGATCGAACGACGCGTCGGCGATCGCGTCTCTAAAAATAAAAAAGGTTTCAACACACATCAGAAATCCTTCGGGATCCCCCCGTTCGGCTCCGTCGCCTTCCCCCCCAAGAACGCGCTCAAAAACGCGCTCTTCGGCTTCTCCCCTCTCGCGCGCGCCTTATCGATCACGTTCGATTCCGGGGCGACGTACTTCGTGATCAGGTGATGTCGCTGGAAGTGATGCGCGGCCACCGTGACCATCTCTTGGTTCGCTTTGAAGAGCATCACGTCGATGACTCTCGGATCGTCCGTAGTGTGCCTCAGGGTCGTTCCATACGAAGCGACGTCGGGGTGGAGTTGAAAGGCGTCAGTTGGAGTTGAAAGGCGTCGAGGGCGGGGATTGAAACCGTGGTGTGGGCGGAGAGATGCGCCGGGCAAAGTCCTTAAGGATCGGCGTCCACATCGCCGACGGGGTCGTATGGGGACCAGTGTATAGAACGCGCCTGCGGAACTCGTTCGCGAGCTGCGCGCGGAACTTGGCCGGCGTGGTGACTTCCTCGAGCCAGTACGTGCGCATCACCCACGGGACCTCGCGGCACAGCTGCGGCGGAGGGTAACGGAGGAGGGAGGGCGGAGGGCGTTCTTACTCAGATCGGAGGGGACGGACGGACGTGAGATCGCGTCGGGCGCGACAGGGTGGATGGTCCCTTGGGTTTACCCTAACGACGCGCGGGGGACGAGGGCGCTGCGACGCGCGGGGAAGACGCGACGCGACGCGACGCGACGCGACGCACGCACCTCGCGGTAGAACTGCCTCGCGCGCGCTTTCGCCTCCGCCAACGACGCGGAGAACACCGGCGCGCCCGCGGGGGCGGACAAGACCTCGCTCTGGCCCATGGACCCTCCGGTCGCCATCATGCGCTTCGCGCTCGCGCGGAGCGCCATGTTTCTCTTCTTCTTCTCGATCTCTCGCCCGCGGACGTCTGTCGCTGGGTTCGCGATCGAACGGACGCGCGCGCGCGACGACGGCGCGAGGCGCGGGGGGGACGGGGGAGGGCGACGACGCGCGCCGGTGCGTCTTCGGCGCCCCGCGGAGTGCGCCGCGGCGGGACGCGGACGCGCGGATGAGCTAGGGCTGGAAAACGACCGGAGCGAGGTCGCGCACGCGATCGCGCGGCGTCACCGCCTTACGGACGTTTTTCACCCATCGCTCGCTGTCAACATTTGATCGCGTCCCCTTTCAACTGATGACCGATGAACTTTTTTTTGCGCGTGGAATCGCCCTCGGCCGCGGACGCTAGAGACGCTCCGCAGCTACAGCTGTCGCGTCCCCTTCCGCCCCCCCGCTGCACTCCAGCGCGCGCGTCCGCTCGACGGTCCGCGCGAGCCGCGAGACGCGAGGCGCGAGCATGAGCGGCTGGGCGCAGTCCCCGACGGTGCGCGCGCGCGGCGTCGCGTCTCCTCGATCCGCGGTCGCGCGTCGCTTCCGCGCGCGGCATCCCATCGCGCCGCGCGAGATGCCAACGTCTCGATCTTCTTCTCATCTCCGAACGCGTGCGCCTCTCATCGCCTCCTCCTCCTCCTCCTCCTCCGTTCCTTCCATCAGGGCGGCTACGCGGGCGCCCCGCCGCCGCAGCAGGCTGGCTACGGCGCGCCTCAACCACCCGGCGCCGCGGTCCCGCACGGCGCGTACAACCCGAACGCGCACGACGTGCACTACCGCGGCGGGCAAGCGGGCGCGTCGTCGTCGTCGCAGCGCGGATCTTTCGACGGAGGAGCAGGAGGAGGAGGAGGGCACGGGCATCCGCAGGGCTACGGAGGCGGCGGCTTCGGCGACGGCGGCGGCATGGGCATGGGAATGGGCGGCGGCGGCCTCCCGATGTCCCCGAAGAGCATCGCGCGGTTCGGGATGGGGGCGTACGGCGCGCAGGCGAGCGCGTTCGTCTCGAACAACTACGCCAAGTACTTCAGCAGCACGGCGATGCGGTACTACTTCGACGTCAACGAGGCGCGTCCAACCACGTATCGTCGCTCGCCACGTCATCGCGATGTCCACGTGTCGTCTCCATCCAATATCTTCTTTCCATGTGTCCTCCACGTGCGTCGACGCTGACCGCTCGTTCTCGTCCACGTGTCAACCGACGTCCTCGCAGCCGTACGTGTTCAACAAGCTCAAGCTGCTCGCGTGCCCGTTTCTTCACAAGGGGTCGTGGGCGCGCATCCCGGAGCGAGACGCCGACCGCGGCCTCGCGTTTAAACCCCCGCGCGGCGACATAAACGCCCCGGACTTGTACATTCCCCTGATGGGCTTCGCGTCGTACGTGCTGACGAACTGCATCCTTCAGGTGCGTTCTATCTCGCACTGGTCCCCATACGACCCCGTCTGCGTGGTGAACGCCGTTCCTTAAGGACTTTGCCCGGCGTGTCTCTCCGCCCACACCTCGCTTTCAATCCCCGCCCTCGACGCCTTTCAACGCCGCTTCTGACGCCTATGAACTCCACCCCGACATTCGCTCGTATAAAACGCCCCTCAGGCGACTCGCGGAGAGTTCACGCCCGAGTCCCCCGCCGGATTCGCGTGGCGAGGCTTTTGTTTCTGGTGCCTCGAGTCCGCGTTCGTGTGGACGGCGCTCAGGAGCTGCAGCACGGCGCAGCACGTCGTCTCCGCGCCGGTGTTGGACATCGCGGCGTACTGCGGGTACATGTTCGTGTTGGTGAGCGCGGCGTCGTGCGTGAAGATTCTATTTCCGGGGGCGCAATTCGCGAAGATCGCCGCCATCGGATGGGGCGCGACGGCGGGCGCGGTGTTCATCGTGAAGGCGCGTTCTATGTCTCTCACACTGGTTCCCATACGACCGCGTTGGCGTTGTGAACTTCATTCCTTGAGGACTTTCTCTCCCGTCCGTCCGTCGTTTCTGTTTCGATCCGCCCAACGACCGCTCGGTTTCGATCCCGACGTGCCGCGTGTTGCCTTTCGACTCCGCTTCTGACGCACCCCTCAACTCCGCCCGCCCCGACGTCGGTCGCTTCGCGCGGACCCTCGACGCTCAGACGACGAAACGGATCATCTTCTCCGAGGCGAGAGGCGGCGGGGGGTACGGCGTGGACGGGAGCAAGCACAACTATCTGCTGCTGATACTCGCGGTGATTCAGTTCCCGCTGCACATGTGGCTCGGAGCCGCGTTCGCGTGATGAAGAGCGATGGAGGTCTTTTTTAACGACCGTCCGAGAGTCGTCTTCGCCGCCGCCGCCGTCGGGTCGGCGGTCCCTTTGCAATCTAAACGCCTACGTTAGTCTACTCCGCTTCTTCGCTTCACTTCTTCTTCGCGCGCGTCGTCGTCTTCGGCTTCGCTTTCCTCTTCCTCCCCCCCGCTGCTTTCTTCCGTCGCGTCGTCGCCCCGGAGCCCGCCGGTTTCCGAATGACTTTGTCCGTCTTCGCGTCTTCGTCCCACGTGTCCTCCTCGCCGAGTAACCCGCCCGCGATCCCCGCCCTCCGCGCGCACGCGTCGCACGTCACGCCGCAGCGCCTCGCCTCGAATCCGTCCTCGCCGAGGTAGGACATCAACCGCGCGCGTCGGCAGTCGACGCGGTTTAAGAGGAACGCCTCGACCTCCCGGAGCAGCGGCTCGGATTTCTTGATCCTGTCGGCGCGCCTGCCCCCTCCCGGCTGCGGCATCGCGTTGATCCGCCGCAACCGCGTGATGTCGCTCGCCGCGTACAGCGTCACCGCCTCGGCTTCCTTCCCGTCCCTCCCCGCGCGCCCGATCTCCTGGTACAGCCCCTCTAAACTCTTCGGCGCGCTGTAGTGGACGACGTATCGAACGTCCGGCTTGTCGATGCCCATCCCGAACGCGATGGTCGCGCAGCACACGCGGACGTCGCCGGCGGTCCAGGCGTTTTGAATCCGCGTGCGCTCCTTCTGCGGCACCCCCGCGTTGTACGCCGCCGCGGCCGGGCCCGGCCTTTCGCCCGTTTTGAATCGCCGCGCGCGCTCGGCGTTGATCGCCGCCGCGAGCGTCGCGGTCTCGTCCCGGGAGAGGCAATACACGATGCCCGCTTTCTTGTCGCCGTATCGATCCGCGACCCACTTCGCGAACGCGCTCACGTCCCTCATGCGCTTCTTATGCTTCACGATGAGCGAGATGTTCGGCCGGTTGAACGTCACGGTGAAGCACCGCGCGGTCCGCGCGATCCCTAACGACTTGAGGACGTCCGCGCGGACGGTCATCGTCGCCGTCGCGGTCAACGCCATCACCGGCGTGTCCGGGAAACGCTTCTTCAACGCGCCGAGCTTTTTGTAATCCGGCCTGAAGTCGTGGCCCCAGCTGCTCACGCAGTGCGCTTCGTCGATCACGAACCGCGCGAGCTGCCCGCTGTCGTATAAAGCCTCTAGACACGTCCACAGCGCGTCGCTGCTCGCGAGTTTCTCCGGGGTGACGTACAGCAGTCGTATCGTGGGTTTATCTTTTCGGAGCTCGGCGAACGCGGCGCGCGCGTCCGTCTCCGTCTGCGCGCTCGAGAGATACGTCGCCGGAACGTCGTAGTCGTGCACCAAGTGCCTGACTTGGTCTTGAATCAACGATAGTAACGGCGAGCACACGACGGTTACCCCTCCCGTGATGATCGCCGGGAGCTGATAACACAGCGACTTGCCCCCGCCCGTGGGCATGAGCACGAAACAGTCGCGGCCGGCGTAGCCGCGCCCGCCGCGAATCGCGTGCGACGCGACGGAGAACTGCGGCGATCGAAACGCTTCGTTCCCGAACACTTCCTTATTGCAGAGGTCCATCAGACGCGCGACCTCGTCGTTCGGGTCTCTCGGCGGCTCGGGGTCGTCCGAGGGCCCGCCCGCGCCGCCGCCGCCGCGACCGTTCGGTCGCCGAACCGTCGTCGTCGCCGCCGCCGCCGCCGCCGCGCGCGCGAAGATCGGCGCGACGTTCTTCGCCGGCGCGACGCCGCCGCCGCGCGCGCCGAAGCTATCGCGTCTCCCCGCGGCGGCTTCCGCGAGGATCTCCCTGATGACCTCCGGGGCGTCGTCGTCGTCGTCGGCGTTGTCGTCCGACTCGGTGAGGTACACGGTGTCGCCGTACACGTCCTGGTAGTCTTGCTGCGACACGGGCGGAAACGACGCGTCGGGATCGTCGGGATCGAAGTCGTCGTCGTCGTCGGAACCGGACGCGGAGTATTCGTCCGCGACGTACGCGCCGCCGAATTCGTCGGTCACGACGACGCCGCGGACTTTCGAGCGGGGGGGCGTGCCCATCGCTTCGTCGGGGTGTCGACGATCTTCGCGAGGGCGGGCGGGGATGGAGGAGGTCGTCAGAAAGGATCGGCTCGAGTTCGAGTTCGAGTTCGAGTTGCTGACGCGAACGAGCGAACGAACGAACGAAGGAATGTCGGACCGCCTTTTACAAGCGGACGGCCGTCGCTCTGCCGCCGCTCAAGAAATATCACCCGGTATGATGTTCGGGGGGAGTATCGCCGCGGTCGTCGTTGATCTCGAGACGGCGCAGCTTCTTAGCCCCCGGTGCGAAGGAAGGTGGCGCGAAGGAAGGTGGCGCGGATTCGGACAGATCTCGCGGAGAGGGAAAATTCGAGCACCCCGGCGAGGAGGATCGGACGCGACGCGAGGACCGCGCGCGAGGGACGACGACGAGGGGGCGATCAGGAGGCGGGACGCACCACGCGGAGGACGCGGGCGACATCGCTGGTCACGTCGAACCCGCTCGGAGCGACGACGGCGGCAGGGCGGTGCTCGGAGAGAATGGCGACGCCGGCTTCTTTCTTTTCTGGGTGCCAGATGAAGAGCGCACTGGACGAGTCTTCTCGGAGGACTACTAAGCTCGCAGACCACGACGCGCCGCCGTCGCGCCGCGCCGCCCGACGCCGCCCTCTCCCCCCGCGCCGCCGGCCGCCGCGTCGCGTCGCGTCGCGTCGCCGCCGCCGGGCATGCCCGCGTTCGCGTCGGACCCGACGTCCGCGCCGTGGCGATGGGCGGGCGCGGCCGTCGCGCTGCCGCTCTGCTCGCTCTTCGGCGAGGCGCAGTTCCGCCTCCTCCGACTCGACGTTCGCGCGCGCGCGCGCGCGACGTGCCGACGCGCGCCGACGCCGCCGAACGCGCCGTCGTCGTCGCCGCCGCCGCCGCGCTCGCCGCGCTCGCGCTCGGACCCGACGACGCCGGGGATGGCGACGCGAAGCGCGACGCGACGCGTCAGAGGAGGAGGAGGAGGAGGAGGAGGAGAACGAGGAGGACAAGAGACGCGGTCATCACAACTCTCGCGGTCGCGTCCGCTACCGCGCGCCAACGCGCTCTTCTCCACGCTCCTGTGCGTCGTCGCGCTCGCGTCGCCCGCGATCCTCCCGCTCGGGCTCCTCGGAAGGATCCTCCTCGCGCTCGGGGCGTTCCAGCACGCGTGCAAGGTGATCGAAGCGCGGCGAGGATACGCGCCGAGAGGGGTCGTCCACGCGGGTATGCTGCGGGGGTATTTCGCGTCCCCGATCGAGCCGCTCGCGGCGCAGTGGAGCGAACGCGCGGGTACCGGCGATGGAGGTAACGGCAATGGAAGAGGCGTTAGGGTGGACGACGCCGCGGAGTTCAACGACCGGTCGTTTCCGTTCGACGACGCGACGCGAAGCGACGTGAGGCTCGCGTTCGCGTTTTGCGAGCGCGCGGCGGCGAAACTTCTCTTTTGCGTCGTCGTGATTAACGCGCTCGCGACGGACGTCACGGAGGTCAGACCCCCGCCCGTGCCTCGAGAGAAGGACTTCACGCGGCCGACGGGTATCGACCCGATCGACACGTACCTCGCCGCGTGGTTCTTGTCGATCTTTTTCGAAGGAGCGATGGACCTCGTCGCGGCGTTTCAGGCGCGTTCTTTGAGTAACGCAGGTCCCAGCGCGACCCCGTTCGCGCGGCGCGCGCCGTTCCTCGAGGCCTTTCTCTCCCGGCGTCTGTTTCTCTCCGCCAATCAGGGTCCCTCGCTTTCGATCCCGACATACCGCAGCGCCTTTCAACTCCGCTTCTGACGCCTTTGAACTCCACACCTCGACCCTCAGATCGCGATCCTGCGCGGCCCCGCGCCCGCGCGGTGTTTCTTCCGCCCGCTGACGCGTTCGCGGAGCCTCCGAGACTTTTGGAGCAACCGGTGGAACTACCCGGCGAAGAGCGTTTTAAAACGCCTGGCGTATGATCCGTTACGGGACGTCACGGGCAGCGCGTCGCTCGCCGCGGCGGCGACGTACCTCGCGTCGGCGGCTCTTCACGAGTACACGACGTCTACGACGTTTTACGGGTACTACGGTCTGCGCGCGTGCCCGTTCACGCCGGGGCAGAACACGTCGTATTTCTTTTTGCAGTTCGTCGCGACGGCGATCGAGCGGAAAGCCGCGAGAGCGTTGCGCGGAAGGTCGTCGCCGTCGTTTAGGTTTCTCGCGTCCGATTTCGCGCGTCTTCTCTTCGTGTCGGCGTGGCTTTCGTGCACGACGACGCTCTTCCTCGATTCCCTGCGCGCCGGCGGGCTCTTCGAGGACATCGAGGAGCTGACCCGCGTCCCCGCGCTGCGAGGCTTCCTCGACGTCGCGAAAGGGCTCGTCTCCGAGATTGACCTCGAGCTGTCGAGGACGAACGCGATGTGGCGGTGGCGCGGGCGCGGGCGCGCGCGCGCGAGGTGACTCGGGGGGTGAGTATAGTCTACTGTATGATATCCACCGGTGACGTGCACGCGTGACTGTCCCCATACGACCCCGTTGGCGTTGTGAACGCCGTTTCTTAAGGACTTTCGCCGACGCGTATCTTCCCTCGACCGATCACGGCGCAGGAGCGTCGAAACGAAGTGGGACCTTCGATGGAACGCGAGGGCGAGATGGCGCGGGGGGGCGAGGCGCGCGATGAGCAGCGAGCGAACGAACGAAAGACGATGACGACGATGATCGAACGCGAACAGGACACGACCGACGATTGCGTGAAGAACTCTAGCTAGGAAGTACGGATACCGTACGTGTACCTTACGACGCCTACTACGCCGCTTTCGCCGCCTTCGATCGTTTCTTTCCTCCGGCGGCGCTCGTCTCCTTCTTCTTCTTCTTCGCGGCGGCGGCGGCGGCGGCGGCGGCGGCGGCGCGCTCATGCGCGTGCGCCTTCGCCTTCTGCGTCATCCGCCGCAACCGCGTCGCTTCCTTTCGAAGTTCACCGTTCACCGCGAAAGCTTTCGTCTCGAGAAAGTGCCTGCGCAACGCGTCGACGACAGCCTCGTCCGCGCCGCCGCCGCCTCCTCCGCCTCCGCTCCCCTTCGCGTTCGCGTTTTCGTCGTGCGCGGTCCCCTCCACTAGCGCTCTCAACTCCGGCCCTAAATCCAGCACCGCACGTTCCCCGCGCTTCCCTTTCCCCGACGCGCGGTCCAGCGGCGACGTCTTCGCCTTTTTCCCAACCCTCGGCGGCGGAATCGCGGGTCGGAACGTCCCCCGCGTCGTGCTATGCAGTCGCGCCAACTCGGCGGGCGCGTGGCTTCCGAGCGCGGTCGCCACCGCGCCTTGAAGCGGCATCCCCGCCACCTCGCTCGCGGCGGCCGCGACCGCGGGGTGGTAGTGCGACCGCAGCAGCGACAGATCCCACAGCACCGCGGCGAGCCCGACGCACGTCTCCGGGTCGTCCAGATTTGGATCGAACGCGCCGACGCCGACTTTTTCGTTTTCGAGGAGACACCGCGTCTTGGGATAGGCCGCGAGGAGCTGCCGCGCGACGCCCAGCGCGCCGACAGCCTCGCCCGCTTCCGATGCGAGCGCGGTCCCGGCGAGCCTCTTCGCGAACGCCGCGACGCGGTTCTGGTCGACTTGTTTGTACCCCGCGAGAAACCTTTGAAGCGTCTTGATGCGCAACGCGCCGGCGTCGAGTTTCGCGTCGTCGTCGCCGCCGCCGGTCCAGTCGCTCGGCTTGGCTAACATCGCGTACAGCTGTCGGTGAAACTCCCCGGTGTCCACGTGCAGGGCTTCGCCGTGGCCGCTCAAGATTTCGCACGCGCACAGGAGCGTCCTCGCTTTTTGGTCCGCGCTCAGCGCGTCGCCCGCGAGAAGTTTACGAAACACTTCCATCAAATCTTCCATGAAGTTCACCGAGATGAGGTGCGTAAACTTTCCGAGGCCTATCAACGCCGGGGTCATCAGCGGCAAACGTTTCGCCGGGACGGGCGACGCCGCGTTTTTGAGGACGCGGAAATACATCTCGAACGTCGCCAAGAGCATCTTCGATTGGAGCTTACGCTTCGCGGCGTTGTCCATCCTCCCCGCGGCTTCGGACATGTCGCGTTCCAGCGACTTCTCAAAGTCGTCCTCGTCCGAGTCGTCGTCGGGGTCGTGCCCGAAACTCTTAAGTCGCTCCTTCTCCGCCTTCTTCTTGTCCTTCTCCGCCCTGGCTTTCCTCCACTGTTCGCGCTCCTCCGCGCGCTTCTTGCGCGTCTGCTTGCGCGACAGCGTCTCCGGTTTCTTCCCCGCCTCCAACGCGAGGACGCCCTCGTCGAATCGAATCTCCAAAAACGGCGCCAACGCCTCCGGGTGACACGCGCACTTATCCTGCTTCACGAGCTGCGCGACCATGTGCAGCGCTTCGAGGGTGACGTCCCCGGAGAGGTCCGCTCTGATCGCGCCGCCGATCGCGCGCGCGACCGCCGGCGCGGCGGCGGAGTCCATATTCGAGAGGTGCGGCACGAGCGCGGAGAGGACGTCGGTGCGATAGTTGAAGTGCGGCAACGCCTTGGGGTCGTTCCATACGAGCGAACGTTGGGGTGGAGTTGAAAGGCGTCAGTTGGCGTTGGAAGGCGTCGAGGTGTGTCGGGATTGAAAGCGAGGGACCCTGGGCGGAGAGAAACGACGGATGAGAAAGTCCTTAAGGATCGGCGTTCACCACGCCGACGGGGTCGTATGGGGACCAGTGTGAGATAGAACGCGCCTCGAGCAACGCGCACAGACACTTCAACGCGGTCCCCGGGTCTGGCCCGCCTTTGCCTCGCTGCGACCGCGCCTTCTTCGCGCCGCCGCCTCTGCGGACGACGATCTTCACGAACGCTTGGTACATCTTCAGGAGCCCTTGCTCGAAGTCCCTCAGCTTCTTGTGCTCTTTCGACACCTTCATCTCTCGCTCCTTGTCCGTCGGCGGCCGGATGCGGTACCCGGGACACACGTCCTGAGCGTCGAGGGAGGGTCGAGGAATTGTCCACACGAGCGAACGTCGGGGTGGAGTTGAAAGGCGTCAGAAGTGGAGTTGAAAGGCAGGCGTCGAGGTGTGTCGGGATTGAAACCGAGGGGTGGTGGGCGGAGAGATGCGCCGGATGAGAAAGTCCTCAAGGATCAGCCTTCACCACACCGACGCGGTCGTACGGGGACCAGCGTCGGTGAGGAGAACGAACGCGCCTTAAACACGAGCACCATCGACAGCGCGGCCATTCGCGCGACGTCGCCGTCGCGGTCCTCCACGAGCTTCGCGACGTCCCTCAGCTCCTTCCACCTGCTCTCCGGGTCTTCGAGGACGCCGCGGCACGCGGTCGCGATGCGCTCGCGAATCGCGACGCGCCGGTTCTCGTCGTCGAGCTCCGCCTCGAGCGCCTCGGCGGCGGCGGATCGCGCGCGTCGCGCCGCCGCCGCGGGATCATCGTCGTCGTCGTCGGAGTCGCCGCCGCCGTCGTCGTCGCCGCCGCCGTCGTCGCCGCCGCCGCCGTCCGCGTCTTCTTCTTCTTTCTCTTTCCCCTCCCACCACTTCTCGGACGCGCGCTGCGCGTACTCCGTCCTCGCCATCTCCTCCGCCATCTCCGCGGCGCGCTTCGCCTTCTTCCCCTTCTTCGCACCGGGCATCATCTTCCCGTCCTCCTCCTCCGCGTCGCGCGCGCCCTCCCTCGCCTTCTCCAGCGCCGCTCTCGCCGCCTTCGGGAGCGCGTCGAGGACGTCGTCCACGCCGTCGCCGCTGATGGGCGCGGGCGCGGTCGGCGCGTGGACGACGGTGCCGTCGAGACGCTTCACCGGCAGCGGCAGCGGCTCGCGATGAAGATGCCCACCATCTCTGCGATCGGCGGCGCGCGTCGCGTCCGCGTCGTCGTCGTCGTCCTCCTCCCCCGGCTCCCTCTTCTTCTTCTTCTTCTTCTTCTTCGCGTCCTCCTCCTCCTCCTCCGCGCGTCTTCTCGACGCCACGTGCTCGCGCTCGTACGCCGTCGTCCGGTTCTCGTCGTCCTCGCCCCCGCTCGGACGCGTCTTCCGCTTCTTCCCCGCTCGGATGGCGTCGACCGCGAGATTCGCGATGCCTCGCGCGTACGACGCGTGCGCGCTCACGAACGCGACGTCGTCGTCGTCGAGCTCGTCGTCGCTGTCGGACGCGAGCGGCGCCGCCTGCGGGAGCTCGCCCGCGTTCTTCCCGCGCCGGGAGCGCTTCTTCTTCGCCATCGCGACCGCCGCCGTCGCGCGCGCGGCGAACGAATGGCGGCGGCGGCGGCGTGCGGACTTCTCTCACTGCTGGTTTCATCTCGCGAGGCGAGGCGAGGCGGGCGCGCGTTTTTGCTGAGAGTTTCTAATTCCAACTGTTGGCGCCTCCTCCCCTAACTATCTAATACGTAGACTAATACGTCGTCGTGGCTATCGCGCTACTGTCTAGCTAGGTACTTCCGCGCCTTCTGCCGCGCCGCGCTCTTCGTCTTCGTCTTCTTCCATCGCGACGTACCCCCCCGACGTGGCCCCCGTCTCCGTCGTCCCTTCCGTCCCGCCGCCGAGGCAACCATTCGACAGCGCCCGGCCGCCCGCGGCCGCGAGAAGACTGCGACGGTCGTCGGGGCGGAGTTGAAAGGCGTCAGGCGCGGAGTTGAAAGGCAACACGCGGTGCGTCGGGATCGAACTCGAGGGGTGGGCGGGGAGAAACAGACGCCGGATGAGATAGTCCTTAAGGAACGGCGTTCACAACGCGAACGGGGTCGTATGGGGACCAGTGCGACGAGGACGCCGTACCTCAACGCGGCGAACAGCGAAAACATCCCGTCTTCGGCGGCGTCCTCGCGCATCGACGCGCGCATCGCGCCGATCGTCAGCGGCGTCAGCGCGCTCCCGAGGTTGATGAAGCACGCGATGAACCCGGCGCCGAGCGACGCGATCGCGGACGGGCACACGCTCGGGAACCCGGCCCACATGAGCTGAGGGTCGTTCCATACAAAGCGATGTCGGGGTGGAGTTGAAAGGCGTCAGAAGGAGTTGAAAGGCATCGCGGTCGGGGATCGAAAGCGAGGGACCCTGGGCGGAGAGACACGCCGGGAAAAGTCCTTAAGGATCGGCGTTCACCACGCGAACGCGGTCGTATGGGAACCAGTGTATAGAACGCACCTGATTGCAACACGCGTACCCGACGCCGAGGAAGAACACCGCGGCGACTTCGTCGCCGCCGAAAAGTAACGCCGCGTGCGCGAGCGTTATCATCAGCGCGCAGACGGAGAACCCGAGCTGCTGCGCGCGGAACGACAGCTTCGCGCGGTCGACCGCGACGCCGATCGGGACGGACAGAACCGCGAGCGCGAGCTCCGGGAGAAGCATCAGTTCATCCGCCGCCGCGACGTCGCGACCGCGGCGGCGCTGCAAGTACCCGCCGCCGTAAAAAAAAAAAGGCACCACCGCGCTGTACGTTAGGGCCGTTCCATACGAGCGAATGTCGGGGTGGAGTTGAAAGGCGTCAGTTGGCGTTGAAAGGCGCCGAGGACGGGGATTGAAAGCGAGGGGTTGGCGGAGAGATGCGCCGGCAAAAGTCCTTAAGGATCGGCGTTCACCACGCGAACGCGGTCGTATGGGGACCAGTGTATAGAACGCGCCTGTACATGCACGTCCCGGAGAGGGCGTAGAGCCAGAACGAGCGGGGCACGGTCTCGACCGCGGAGACGACCGCGGCGACCGCGGTCGCGATCGACGACGCGATGGGCGGGGTCGGCGCTTCGCCGCCGCCGCCGCCAGTCGACGACTCGAACGCTTTGAGCGCTTCTCCCCCGCCGCCGCCGCTCGCGGCTCCTCCTCCCCCGTCGTCGTCGTCGTCGCCGCCGTCGCCGCCGTCGCTCAGCCACGCGCGCAGACGCGCGCCGAGGGACCCCCCGCCCCAGTGGGGCGACGCGTCGAACGCCGCGCGCGTCGCGACCTCGCGAACGATCGCCGCGAGCGGCCACATCACCACACCGACGCACGCCGCGAACCAGAACACCGCCGCGACGCCGCCGCCGCCGTCCGCGCCTCCGCCGGACTGCTCGTAGATCCTCGGCAACGCCGCGAACGCCAACACCGACCCCAACCGCAGCGCGCCGGTGATGAACCCGCTCGCGGTCCCCCACAGCCCCGGAAGCAGCGCGGGGACGAACCCGAGCGGGGTCATGTCGATCGCTTCGTACACGCTTCCCGCGACCGCGCGGCCGCACGCGAGCGCGGCGAACGACCCACTCGACGCGCCCGCCGCGGACAGGACGTTCCCGGCCGCGCCCACCGCGGCGACGGTCGCGAACGCGCGCTGCGGCGAGACGTACGCGGCGTGGTGTTTCGGGAGCGAGCTGACGCCGCCGGCGACGAGAGGAACGAGCGCGGACGGCGCGAAGTACAACGCGGTCATGATGCTGAAGCGCGTGGGCGTGACGTCGAGCGACGGATCCGCGCGGAGTTGCTCCTCGATCGTTCCCGGGGCGTCGCGGCAGAAGTGATTGCACGCGAGGACGATCGCGAGGAGCGCGGCGCAGACGACGCCTCTGCGCAGGCGCGGCGGCAACGCCATCGTCGCCGCGCGACGACGCGTTGTGGTCGGTGTCGGGCATTTCGAGTGCTGTTAACAATAATCAGATCTCAGAGAGCAGTCGTCGTCCTGTCGTCGTCGTCGTCGTCACTCCGCGGTGCGCATGCACCGCGCCGCGTCGGCGGTTCCCCGATCGCGCGCGCTCGCGTCGCTCGCGCCGAACCTTCGTCGCCGCGCGAGGACGCGCGGCGGACGCGCGGCGGCGGCGGCGGCGGCTGCGACGCGAAGTCGGCGGGCGGAGCGGAGGACGACGACGACGACGACCGCCATGACGACGCCGACGCCGCCGCGCGCGGACGACGCGACGACGACGACGACGCTCCCGGACGGCCTCGTCGCGCACTGCGAGACGAGCCTGCGCAAGGCGTACGAGCACGCCGCGCGCGAGCGACGCGCGCAGATGGAAGACGACGACGCGCCGCCGTCGATACGCGCCAACGCGCCGACGTCCGCGGAGCTGCGAGGGATGGCGCGCGGCGAAGAGGGCGACGACGACGACGACGACGACGACGAGGAAGACGACGACGACGCGCGCGCGCCGCCGGACCCGACGGACGGCATCGAGCGCGTGATGGAAGAGCTGAAAGAGCTCGCGGTCGCCGCGGTCGCCGCCGCCGCCGCCGCCGCCGCCGACGACGAGGACGACGACGACGAAGCGGCGGCGGAGGAGGAGGAGGAGGAGGAGGAGGACGCGAAGAGACGAAAAATCCACGCGGCCGCCGCCGCCGCCGCCGCCGCGGCGTCGACGTCCCCGCCGCCGCCCACCCCCCTCGGCGGCATCCCGGCCCCGACGCACAAGCAAAAGAAACGCCTCGCGCGACAGAGCGTCAACGCGGCCGCGGTGTTCAACACGAACGCGCGGATATTAACGAGCGCGATGCGAGGCAGCTGGGCGATGACGCGCGCGCTGTTGGTCACGAAAACGCTCCCGGCGGCGGCGGCGGTGTCCGCCGCGCGCGCGGCGAAGGACCGAAGCGCGTGGCGACGCCACGTCATCGTATCACACCACGTGGCGCTTCGATCGCAGTGCGCGATAGATGACGTGGTGCACGCGGAGGACACGTGGCGAGACGTGATTGGTAAGGAGGGGTCGCTCGACGCGTACGCCGAGGCGGCGGAGGAAGTCGGCAACCGCGCCTGGGTGCTGACCGCGCTTCGATGGTGCGCGCGCGAGATCGAGCGCTTCGCGTTCGAGGACGGCGCGCTGGAGTACGAGATTCGGCGGCTTCGCGCGCGGTGGTTCGAGGAGAAGGGAGAGAAGATGAGCGACGCGGAGGAAGCCGCGGCGCGCGCGTCGCGAGCCGCTCGGGTGCGTTCTTTTTCGCACAAGACTGGTCCCCATATGACCGCGTTCGCGTTGTGAACTTCATTCCTTAAGGACTTTCTCTCCCCGCGAGGCGTTTCTCTCCGCCCACGCCTCGGCGGTTTCAACGCTCGACCCTATGACGCCTTTCGACTGACTCCGTCTGACGCCTTTCGACTCCGTCCGCCCTGACGTCGCCAGCTGTCGACGCGCGGCGGCGGGTTGGTCCCTACGCGATGGCACGTTCAGGCGCGTTCTATCTTACACTGGTCCCCATACGACCGCGTTCGCGTGGTGCACGCCGTTTCTCAAGGACTTTTGCCATCGTCTCTCTCCGCCGTCCACCCCTCGCTTTCAATCCCGACACACCTCGACGCCGTTCAACAACTCCACCTGACGCCTTTGAACTCCACCCCGACGTTCGCTCGTATAGAACGACCCTCACGTTACCGTCAAGCCGCTCATCGTGGACGTCGGGTCGTGCTGGGACTACTTCCGACGCCACGACGACGCGTTCGAGGTCATCGCGCAGGACCTGCGCCCGCGGAAGGACGCGATGTTGCGTTCGGACTTTTTAGAGTTGGTCATCCAGGACGACGCCGCCGCCGCGCCCGGGATCTCCGAACGCGCCCCCCCGGGGGGAGGACCGCGCGACCTGACCTCGCTCCCGCGCGGATGCGCGACCGCGGTCGTCATGTCGCTCGTGCTCTCGTACGTCCCGACGCCGAAGCTACGCGGCGAGATGGCGCGGCGCGCGCGCGAGCTCCTCGCGGACGAAGGCCGCGGGCTGTTTCTCGTGGTGACGCCGCACAGCACCGATAAGGCGCGTTCGAGTAGTCACGCCGGTCCCCATACGACCGCGTTCGCGCAGCGCGCGCCGTTCCTTAAGAAGGACTTTCTCATCCGGCGTCTGTTTCTCTCCGCCCACCGCTCGCGTTCAATCCCGACACACCTCGACGCCTGCCTTTCAACTCCGCTTCTGACGCCTTTCGACTCCACCCCGACTTCGCTTCGTATGGGCAAACACCCTCAGTCGCATAACCCTCGGAACGCGTTGCCCATACTGAGAGAGTGGAAAGACGCGATCGAGAGCCTCGGGTTCGAACGCGTGCGACTCGAGCGCCAGCGCGCGGTGCACGTGATGGCGTTTCGGACCGTGGGCGCGGGAGGGGCGGCGTGCGGAGAAGGCGACGCGCCACCGCTTCGGATCGCGTTCGACGGGCCGCAAGAAGGGAGGCAAGGGTTCGTCGGCGGGCAGGTCGGCGGCGACGCGCGATGAGACGAGACGCCTAAGCCGCGTGGCGGGAGGATGTCAGGATACTATGTGGTAGGATTCATGATAATACCTAGGTATGATATCGATATTAAACGCCTCCACGCGAGTTGACGACTTAATTAATTAAGATTAAGGCTTCGACGACGACGTGCGCGCCCTGTGCTTCGCGAGCTTGTCCATGAGCGACGAGGTCGCCGCCGACCTGCCGCTGCTGCCGCCGCCGCCGCCGCCGCCACCACCCCCGCCGCCGCCGCTCTTCGCACTCGCTCTCTCATTTTCACTCTCTCGCTTCTTCGCCAGCGCGGCCATGAGCGGGCTCACGGCCGCCGCCGCCGCCGCGGGCTTCGGCTTTGGCTTCCCCGCCGCCGCCGCAGCCGCCTTGGCTTGCGCCGCGGCGCTCTCGGGGACCTCTTCGATCTCGACGTCTTCAATCTCCGCTGCCGCCGCCGCCGCGCCGCCGCCGGTCGGCGTCGACCACGGCTCCGGCGTCGGCGGCAACGCCTCCGGAGGTGGTTTCGGTTTCGCCTCCTTCGCCTTCGCTTCCGGGGAGACGTCCGGCGAGATGGACGCCAGGAGCGCGTTCACCCGCGCCTCCATCTCGATCAGTTTCCCCCGTGCGGCGACGAGCTCAGTCGTCGCCGCGTCTTTCGCGTCCTCCGCCGCCGCCGTCGCCGCGCGCGCGGTCGCCGCGTCGCGCTCGGCGTCGCGTCGCAGCGTCTCGAGTTCGCGCTCCGCGGCGGACGCGCGAATCGTGGCGACGCGCGCGCGTTCTTCCGCGTTTTCGACGGCTTGGAACGCCGCCGCGGCGACGGCGCCGCCGTCGTCCGAATTTTTCCCGCCATTCTTTTCTCCGACGTTTCCCCCGCCGCCGTTCGGGCCGTAGCCTAACGAGTCGCGCGCGGTCACGATCACCTTCGCGGCGTCCGCGTACGACATCCCGGTCACCTTGGACAGCTCCAGCGCGGACGTCGCCGTGAGATGCGCGCGTTCGATCTTCAACCGCGCGAACGTCTCGACGTGCTTTTCGCATCCGAGCAAACGAAGAATGTGAATCAACGCCACGCACTCCGGCGATCGGCTCGCTTCCTCGAGCGTCCGCCGCTTCTTCGCGAGCACCTTGCGCCGCGCGACCGCGCCGCGCATGATACGCTGTATAAGAAACGTCGCCCTCACGAGCGTTTCATACGGCTCAGGGTGGTCCTTCTTCAGAAGCGCGAGACGATGCGACTCGACCATCGCCGCGAGCTCGCGATTGGAAAAAAGGTCCATCCCCGTCGCCTTATCACCTCTGTCGAGTAACATCCGGTTCAGCGCGCGTCGCTTCCCGACGCCGCCGTTCACGCTCGCGATGACGATCTTCGCGTAGTTCAACAGCGCTTCTCTGAAGACGATCCGCGTCACGATCCTGTGCATGCGCTTCTGCACTTTCGGAAACTCCGACACGACCTTCAGGAGCGCGGTTTCATACGAGCGAACGTCGGGGTGGAGTTGAAAGGCGTCAGTTGGAGTTGAAAGGCGTCGAGGGCGGGGATTGAAAGGGAGGGGTGGGCGGAGAGATGCGCCGAGCAAAGTCCTTAAGGATCGGCGTTCACCACGCCGACGGGTCGTATGGGGACCAGTGTAAGGAAATCCACGACCTTCAGGAGCGCGTTGCGGTTCAACGAGAGCACGATCGAGTGACACAGCGTGATCGCGGGCTGCGACACGGTCATGAACGTCATCCTCGACGGGTCCCGGTATATGCGCTCGATCCCGAGCATCGCTCCGATCGGTTGGATCCACCCGCGGTGCGCGATGAGCCCGCGTTCGATGACGAAGACGCACTCGCGTCGAATCGGATTCGCCATCAAATCTTCTTGCGGGGACAACACCAGCGACGAGAGGTGCGCGGAGAGAAGGTCGGGCAAGCGCTTCGGCGCGTCCTCGAACAGCGGCATCGCTCGCACCCACTTCCCGAACACCGCCTCCGCGACTTCTAAGCGCAGCGCGTCGGACATGAGGTGCATCACGTTGCTCCACTCGACGATGCCGCGCGAGTTTCGACGGAATCGAAAAAAATCACGCAGCCGCACGCGTAAATCGTCGCGCAAATTCTTCTCCTTCATGAACGAGTTCAGCGCGTCCATCTGCCGATAAAACGTGTTCGAGCTCTCGTCCAGGTGCGAGATGATCGCGCAGACGCTTCCGAGGAGGTACGCGTAGATGGCGCCCCCCATGAACGTGCACAGAATCGAAAACATCCGCTCCGCGTTGGTCTGCGGAATCACGTCTCCGTACCCCAACGTCGACAACGTCGCCACGGCCCAGTACAACGACGCGAGGTACAGCGTCCCGTCCGGGATCGTCGTCGTCGTGCCGTCGCTCTGCATGGAGTCGAAGTACGACGTCACCCAAGACACTTCTCGTTCGTCGAGCCAGGTTATGCAGTACCATACGCACGCCATCCAGTGCGCGAGAAAGAGGATGAAGAAGGAAAATTTGTAAATCCCGAGCGCGCTGTAGTTGACGTCGTTTTCGGCTTCGTACCGGCGGAACATCCGCCCCGCGCGCAAGATGCGGACCATGTTCGTGAGCTTCAGCAGACGTAACCCGCGCATGATCTTCAGCTTGGAGACGTCTTCGCTGTTGGAATAGTACGCGATGAGGTCGTACGGAACGCACGCGATGAAATCCGGGAAAAGCCACGATTTCGCGTACTCGACGGCGATGTCCTTCTTCTCGTCCACGATCGTCCCGTCCTCCTTCGTGTACGGCGTGAAGAACGTGAACACGAGGTCAAAAATGAACGCGAGGTCCACGATTCGGTTCATGATGAACGTGGCCGTGATCTCGATCTCGAGCGTCTCGCCGTCCGTCTCGGGGTCGAGGGTCCATACGAAGCGACGTCGGGGTGGAGTTGAAAGGCGTCAGAAGCGGAGTTGAAAGGCAGGCGTCGAGGTGTGTCGGGATTGAAAGCGAGGGACCCTGGGCGGAGAGATGCGCCGGATGAGAAAGTCCTTAAGGATCGGCGTTCACCACGCGAACGCGGTCGTATGGGGACCGGCGTGATACTAGAACGCACCTCGAACGCGACTTCGTACGGCGTCCAACTCGCCGTGTACGCCAGGGCGGTGAAGATGAGGACGTCCCACCAGACCATGAACCGCCCGTTCGGGTCGATGAGGTAGCGGTCGGCGTACGCTCGGATGCTGAAGTTGTCGCGGTCGCGCGCGTCGACGTTCGCGGCCCTCACCTGCGAGCGCGTGACGGAACTGCTCCAGCTCAGCGATTTTTTTCCTTCGCCGCCGCCGCCGCCGCCGCCGCCGGCCGCCGACGAGCTCGAGACCCCCGCGACGTATTTCGACCCGTGCGCGGCTTCCGTAGGATTACTCTCTCGCGTTCGCGCTCTCAGCATGTCCGCGGGGTCTTCGAACCGCGTGCTCTTCGTCGTCTTCGTTCCACGGTCGCTCGCGTCCTCGTCGTCGTCGCGCAAGTCGCCCGGCGCGAACGGCGCGTCGGACTTCTTCTCGACGTAGTGCACGTCCGCGCCGATCCTGAACGCGCCCGCGATGAAGGTCCCGCCCGCGCCCTTCGCCTTTTCCGTCGGCAGCGCGAAGGCGTCGCCCCCGGGTCGCGTCGGATCCCTCGTCGACGCCTCTGGCTTTTCGACCGCCACGCGCACTTCTTCCCCGTCGACGTCGTCCGCGGTGAACGCGACGTCGAGCGACGCGCGCGTCCTCGGCCTCGGCGTCGGCGTCGCGTCGTCGTCGTCGACGGAGATGGTGCGCGCGAGCTCGGTCGGGCCGCCGACGCCGCTGTTCAGGCGCTTCCCTTCGCCCGCCATCGTGCCCGCGTCGCTCGCGTCTCTTTTCAGCGATTCCAGCTGCGCGATGCCGCGCTTCGAGTCCGTCATGCCGATGCGATCGCTGACCGTGATCGTCGGGTCGACGTGGTCGTCGAACGCGTCGGCGCCGCCGGGGGCGCCGAGGAATTTCCCGGTCTTGTTGATGTTCATCCTCGCGACGGAGGGAGGTGGATCGCGCTCGCTTCGTCAGCGCGAATTCAACTTCGGAGTATCCAACGCGATCGATCGAATCGCGCGAACGATCGTTCGACGCGTTCCCGCGTCGATCTCGCGACGGCGCGCGCGCTCGCGTCGACGGTCTCCGCGCGGCGCGAGAGCCGACGCGATACCGCGGACGCGCGCCGGCGGCGGGAGCGGCGCGGCAGTGTTGTGCCACCGCCGTCGGAGCCGCGGGAGCGGAGACATCGCGGTTACAAAAAAATCCAGACTTGTTGTTACCAGACTACAGTACGGCAAAAGTCCTTAAGAAACGGCGTTCACCCCGCCGACGCGGTCGTATGGGAACCAGTGTGAGGAAATCGCACCTTACTCGATTTCGGGTCGGGCGTTTTCGAGTCGACGATTGTCAGCCGCCGCGCGGCCGAGCCTCTCGCGCCGCGCCACGCGCAGCGCGAGACATCGCGCGCGCGGGACCGCGAACGAACGAATGCAAAACAAACAGTGCGTATTAATCGTCGCGCGTCGTGGGTCCCGGGTCCCTAAACGTCTCGTCGCGCGACGCGACGCGACGCGACGCGACGCGACGCCGTCGCCGCCGCCGCGGTCGCGTCTCCTCTTCCCCGCCAGGCCTCTCGTCCTCACCCGTCGTTTACTCGTCCATGTCCATGGCGTCGTCGAAGAGCGGGTTCGCGCCCTGCGAGACGAACCCCGCGGGCGTCCTCGCGGCGGCGGAATCGAACGCCGCATCGCTCGCCGGCGCCATCGCCATCGCCATCGCCATCCCTTCGCCGCTCTTCGCCGTCGCGCGCGCGAGCTCCGCGGCGGCCGCCTTCGCCTTCGCCGCCGCCGACGCCACCCCCGCGCGCAGCGACTCCACGTCCGTGGCGTCGTGCGTCGTCGTCGTCGCTCGCGCTTCTCCTTCTCCCTCCTTCGGCGTCGCCGCGATGAACGGCAGGACGCCCCCCTTCCAGTGCTTCGGTCCGGGCGTCGGCGCCGCCGCCGCCGCCGCGGGCTTCGCCGCCGCCGCCGCCGCCGCCGCCGCGTCGCGCGCGCCTACAAGCGAATGTCGGGGTGGAGTTGAAAGGCGTCAGTTGGAGTTGAAAGGCGTCGAGGGCGGGGATTGAAAGCGGGGGGTGGGCGCAGAGAGACGCCGGGCAAAGTCCTTAAGGATCGGCGTTCACCACGCCAACAGGGTCGTATGGGGACCAGTGTAAGAACGCGCCCTCTTCGCCGCGCGCGACGATCCAATCCATCAGCCGGCATATCCCAAACAGCCGCCGCCCGCACGCGCCGCTCGGTACGCGGTCGATCGCGGCTTCCATCGTCGCCGCGCTCGGCAGCGGCGGTCCGGTGCCGTGGTACACGACGGCGACGCGCGGGGAGAGCTTCCCGCGCGGGTACGCGCCTCGGCTAAAGTCGAGCGCGACGTCGACTTTGCGTTCCATGTTGAAATCCGTGAAGGACAGCTCGAGGCCGCCGCCGGCGGTGCATCGCATCTTCGTGATTCTCGGGAACGCGTCGCGGCACGCCTCCGCCTCGCCCAACGTCGCCTCCGCGCGTCGCAGCCCCGGGACGATGGACTGTAAAACAGCCGCGAGATGGCCGTTTCTCGCGTTTTCCGACGTCTCGTTCCACGCGCGCGGCGCCCCCGCGACGGCGGCGGCGAACGCGACGCCCCCCTGCGGCGTCACGCCGCTGCACGGCTGCAGCGTGACGCGCCCGGCGCCGGTGCCGACGTCCAGCGCGATCCGAAACAACCGCCCGACGCGCAGCGAGAGCGTGTCGCCTCCGCCGGAGAGCCCGTCCAGCCGCCACGGCGTGACGCGGTTCAACACCGCGAGTTCCTCGCCGAGCGCGCGGCACGCCTCGCCAGCCTTCTTCGCGCGCGCCGCCGCCGCGGAACGCGCGCTCGCGCCGCCGTCTTCCGGCAGCTCGACGCCCTTCTGCGCGGCGACCGCGCGCGCTTCCTCGAGCTGCGCGCTGAACCGCGAGTGCTCCGCCTGGACGACGCCGCCGCGTCGCGTCATGGCGACGACGTCGTCGTTCGTCTCGCGGAGTTTTCGCTTCGCGTCGTCGACGAGCCTCCGTCGCTGCGCCAACGCCGCGAGCAAACCCCTTCTGGTGGTCAGCAGACGATCTCTCGACGCCGCGGCGTCGCCGCACGCGTCGATCCTCTCGCGCAGGTCCGCCTCGTGCGCGTCGGCAGCCGCGCACGCCTCCGCGGCGATCTCCCTCGAGTGCGTAAGGCTCGTCTCCGTCCGTTGAAGCGCGGCGGCGGCGACGACGAGCGACTCCGCGACGGCTCGCTCCGTGAGCAGCCGGTGCGACGTGAAGTCGTCCTTCGCCGCGAGCTGGCACTCCTTCTTGAGCATCTTCCCGGCGCGCTGCAGCGCGGCGACGTGCGCGGGGTCGTCCGACGACGCGAGCCGCAGAAGGGGCGGCTGCGCGCGTTCGACGTCCAGCTTGAGTCGGTCGATGTCCTTGGCGTCCGACGCGAGCGCGTCGGACAAGTGCTCGTGCATCGGCTCGAGCGCTGCAGCGATGGGTCGTTCGAGGGGGTTTTCGGCGTTCGTTCAAAGGCATCAGACGGAGTTTGAAAGGCGGGCGGGCGTCGAGGGATGGGCGGAGAGAAACACGACCGACGCGCGCGGGAGGGAGGGAGGGACCCAAAAAAAACTCCTTCTTAAGAAACGGCGCACGCTTGAAAGAACGCACCTTCAATCATCGGCGCGGTGAGGCACACGAGCTTCAACCCCTCGTACACGTTCGACGGCGGCGGCGCGTTGGACAGCGACTCCATCGCGAGGCTCTTCCGCCGCAAGTTGCGCGCCTCCATGAACGACACCTCGCACGCGTGAAGAAACGTCTCCAGCTCCACCACGCCGCCGACGTCCGGGATGGGAGGGCAGTCGGCGGGCAAGCCCAACGCCCCCTCGAGCGTCTTGGCGTCGTTCAGCGCCTTGGCGCCGCGCAGCGTGTCCCTCTGCGACCCGCCCGGGGTGAACGCGCCGAAAGCGGCGTCGCCGTATTGGCGCCCGAACGCGGGCGCGGGGTCGAACCCGGGCCCGGCGAACCCGTGGCCGTTTCGCGTCTTGAACCCGCTTCCGGGCGCGCCGCCGGCGATGCTCGTGTTTCGGTTGGGCGTGAACGCCGTCGGCGCCGCGCCTCCGAGCGGCGGCAGCGGCGTGCCGAGCGCGGACGCGAACCCCCAGCCGAGGGTGGAGGGGCGCCCCGCGTGCGTCCCGGGCGTCTTCGCGGTGAACCCGTGCTCTCGCGCTTTCAACTTTTCGATCATCTCGAGCGTTTCGTCGCCGGGGGTGAACCCGCCGGTGGACGACGCGGCCCCCGCGGAGCCGGCGACGGACGGCGCCTTGAGCGACTCGTGCGGCGTCGCGAACGGCACGACGCCAGTAACGGTCATCGTGTGACCGTTATGGACGCCGGGCATCGGCACGAGCACGTCGCCGGTCGTGTCCGTGAGCGCTTTGTCCCAAGTATCCGTCGTCGTTCGCTTGGACGTCTTCGTCGGATCCGCGGCGGCGTGATTCTCGTCGACGGCGGGCGGCGCCGCCGACCCCGTGGAGCCGTCCGTGGCGGCGTTGCCGTCGCTCGGCGGCGCGGGCGTCGCGTCTCCGTGCTCGCCGAGCTTGTTCTTCAAGAGCAACCGCATCGTGTCGTCCCCGGGGAGGGTGAATCCGGTGTTCTCGCGGTCGGTGGACGGACCCGGGAGAGAGCTCGCCGCGGGCGTCGTCGTCGTCGTCGTCGTCTTCGACTTGTCCCAGGTGTCGTTCCCCGAAGACGCGAGCGACGTCTTGCCGGGGGGTGCCTCGAAGCTGTCGCTCAGGTTCAAATCGACCCCGTCCGCGTTCGCGTTTGAACCCGCGGCGTTGTCGTTCACCGCGGCGCCGCCGAAGGAGAGGTCGGTCAGCGTCGGCGTCGACGCGGCGAAGTCGCCGAACCCCGACGCGCTCGTCTTCGTCGCGTCGCTCGGCCTCCCGGGCTCCCCAGTCTTATCCTGCCCGCCGTACACAAACTCGAACGTGTCCTTGCCCATCACCTTCGCGCCGTTCGCGTCGAGGTCCACGGTCATCGTGTGCGCGCCGCCCGGAGATATCCCGTGCGGCATCGCGAACGGCGCGCGGGATTTACGGCGATCCGCCGGGTGCGCGAACCCCGCAACCCCCTTCACGCCGAGCGTCATCCGTCGCTTCCGCTCCAACGCCTGCGCAGCCATAGACTTCCTCCGCGCGTTCAGCGCCTGGGTCATCTCCACGGTCATCGTGACGCCGTTGACGCCGCCGCCCGGGGTGTCGCGCGCGGCGCCCCACACGCCGTGCGCGCCCGCCTCGAGCGCGGAGGTGAAGTTGAAATCGGAGAGCGCCGTCGCCGTCGGCGTGGGGCCGCCCGCGCCGGGCGGCGGGAAGTTCACCGTCGGCGTCGCGCCGCCTTTCGAAACGGCGTTCTGACGCGTTGGGAGCATCGTCGTGTACCCGAGGTCCATGGCCATCGTGTAATCGTCGCCGTCGTTCGACGACGCGGACGCGGACGCGGACGCCGACGCGCCGCCTGCGCCGCCCGCGATGTTCTTCGCCTGGTCCGCCGCCACCGCCGCGGCCAGATCGGCAGCCATGTTCGCCGCGACGTCCTCGGTGACGCTCCCCATGGGGAGCCCGCACAGCGCGGGCGACGCCTCGCTCGAGTTTGTGGAGTGCTTGGAGACGTCGTGGACGTTTACCGTCGCGAGGTGGTCGTCGTCGTCTTCGTCGTCCGCGGCGAGGGAGGATAACGAAGGCACCGCCGCGGTGATTTCGTTCGCGTTCGCGTTCGCCGCCGCGCTCGCGTCGTATTTGAACGCCGCCGTGTGCCCGGGCGCGGACATCCCAACAGGGGCGTGGCCAGCCTCGGTCTCGTCCTCGTCCTCGTCCTCGTCCGCGAGCGCGGCGAGCCCGGGGACGGAGGCGGTGACGCCGTCGTCGTGCATCCCGAGCTCGCCGCCGTCTTCGTCGTCAACCTCGTCGTCGTCCTCGTCGTCGTCCAAACCGCCGCTCTCCGTGATCGTCGGCGTCGTCGTCAGGTCGTTCCCCGCGGCTTTCATCGCGTCGCGGTACTGCGACGGGTCCATCGTGACCCTGCGCGGCAAGTTTTTCGAAAACACGTTTCCAATGTCCACAGACCCCGGCCCGCTGTTCGGCGTCGGCGCGCCGCCGCCGCCGCCGTTCGCGGACATCGGCGTAGCGTTCGCGACGTTCGGCGTGTCCCCGAGATCGAACGCGCCCACGGTGCCGGTGCCGTGCGACGTCGCGTCGGACGGCCGCCCTCCGCCGCCGCCCGCGAGGTTTCCCGTGAGGTTGAGGTTGGACCCCGGGGTGGACATCACGCCGTGGCTGAACGCGATCGTCCCATCCTCGGACGGCGTCGCGTGGGACTTGGATCCGCCCGACGCCGCGGGGGAGACGCCGAACGCGAGGAACGGGTCCGTCGCCGTCGGCGTGACGTGCGGCGCGGGCGTCGGCGTCGGCGTCGGCGTCGGCGCCGGCGCCGGCGACGGCGCGACGACGATCGGCGCCGGAGGGGGGCACGACGCGAGCGTCGCGACCGGTTTCGCGCTCGAGCTCGCCGCCGTCGCTGTCACCGGGTCCGGGAACGCGACGGCGTCCAGCCCGGAGCCCTCGGCGCCCTCGTCTTTCGCAAACTCGCGGACGGATTCCAACGCGGTGTCGACGGCGAACGAGACGCGTCGGTTCGCCAAGGATTGGCGGCGCTTCTTTAACGCCGCGCGCGCGTTCGGGGACGCGTTCGCGCCCGCGTCCGCGCCCGTGGCCTTGGAGACGTCGCTCAGGATGCTGCGGCGGCGGCGTTTGAGGATCTGGGGGATGGGGGGCGGCGAGGAGGAAGGGAGGAGGAGGAGGAGGGCGCGGCGTCAGATTTGATTTGATTCGTTCGCTCGGAGAGGGAGGGAGGGGGTCGAAACGATGAAATGCGTGCGCCGCGGGAGGGACCGACGGGCGCGAGGGCCGCGCGCGACGGCGCAGCCTCCGCGGCGACGGACGACGCGTCGCGCGTCGCCGCGGAGAGCGTCGCGGTCGCGCGCGATATCGCGTCGGGGACGCGCGCGGGGGCGCGTCGTCTCGCGGGAGACGACGACGACGACGACGACGACGACGGACGCGCGACGAAGCTCCCTCCGCGCGTCGAGCGAAATCTCGACGCACCGACGACGGCGTCGCCTCGTGCGCGGGGTTCTCCTTCTCCGGAACCGCGCCGCCGTCCGCGCGCGTCGTCGTCTTCGATGGCGTGTCCGCGACCGGCGACGGCGCGGGCGCGTTCTCCGCGTTCGCGGCGTTACGCGGCGACCGCCTGCGCGACGGTCCCGCCATCGCGCGCGCTCGCGTCTCGAAAAGACGAAATGCGTGCAACCCGCGGCGGGGTCGACGCGCGCGCGAGCGTGCGAGTCCTTCGACGCGACGACGCGCGCGCGCGAGGTGCGTGCGTGCTGCTTCGCGCGTTCAAAACGATCGCGCGGCGGCGTGCGGCGTGCGTGCGTGCGGTCACGAGAGGTCGCGACGCGCGATGCAATGCCGCTCGCGCGGCTGTCGCCGTTCGCGCAACGACAAACGACAGCTTCGCCGAACGAAGTTTGTACCCCTCTGGGACGAGCCGAGCGATTTCTCGAGTCATTAGACCGTAAGTTTCCACGAGTCACGAACGCAGACTAAGAACGCATACGGCCAACGGTCCGAAAACGTAGACTACTGTAGTAGATTTCGATGAGTTTCAAACCACTCCCCGATCGAGCCAGTGGGTCAAACCGACCCGCACTTCTCCCAACTGACCGACGGCCGAAGCGCCCCGCGACCGACACGCGCTACGATAGCGCTCGCGATCAGACAGGATGGATCGCGCGCGAGCCACGAGACGGCCGGAAGACCGGTAGGATCTCGTCTCGCCGCGCGCGCGACACCTTCCGACGCGCGGGGCGGGGCGAGAGGGGACGGCGCGCGCGCGTCCCCGTCCGACGGCGAGGGAAGCGAAGCGAAGCGAACGGCGTCATGGCGAAAGGGAAGAGCAACCCGAAGACGCTGGAGGCGGTGAAGCGCGCGACGAAGCAGGCGAGGCAAGCGGACGCGGCGAGCGGCGGTGGCGCCGCGCCGTCCGAGCCTACTTCGTCGCGTCCTCCGCCTCCGTCCGACGCGCGCGGCGGATCCGGCGGGAAGAGCCGCAAGAGCGCGAGAGGCCGCCGCGGCGCGCGCTCGGACTCGGACGACGACGAGGAGGCGGCGGCGGCCGCGGCGGCCGCGGCGTCCGCCGCGCGCGAGGCGAAGCGCGGCGGCGCGACCGGCACCGGCTCCTCCGCGCGCGTGCAGCTCGGCGGCTTCGGCATCGGATGCCGCGGCACCGGGAACGAGAAGGCGCGGAAGCTCAGGGAGGAGCACGACGAGGCGGTCCGGAGGAAGAAGGCGACGCGGAAGAAGGAGGCGGAAGCGAGGGCGGCGCGCGAGGCGGCCGCGGGATCGCTCAACCAGCTCGCCGCGGACGAGGAGGAGGCGGCGTGGCGCGTGCGGAATCCGACGCGAAACGCGCGCGCGAATCGATCGAAGAAGGACCGAGGAGGAGGAGGAGGAGGAGGAGGAGGACGGGGGGGGAGGGTCGACGACGAGGACGAGGACGACGACGTGGGCGCGGGCGTCCTCGCGAGGAGCGCGCTCGCGGACTTGGAAGAGACGGAGGAGGAAGACGGCGACGGCGAGGAGGCGGGGAGGGGCGTCGGCGGCGCAGGCGCCGGCGGTTTTTCGCTGCTTCGCGGGAGCGACGACGACGACGACGAGGAAGAGGAAGAGGACGAGGAAGATGAAGAAGATCCCGAGCCCGAGCCCGAGCCCGAGCCCGAGTCCGTGATAGAGGTCGAAGACGCGCCGGCGGAAGACCTCGAAGACGTTCTGGTCGAGGACGTTCCAGACGAAGAGCCGCCGCCGCCGCCGCCGCCGCCGCCGCCCGAGGAAGCGGCCGACGCCGCCGCCGCCGCCGCCGACGACTCCGAATCCTCCGCGTGGGAGACCGAGAGCGACGACGACGGCGCCGCGCCGTGGGAACCGCGCCTGCGCGAGTCGCTCTTCGACGGCGTCGTCTCGGCGTCGTTCGAGGAGAACCTCGATCGCATGCGCGTCGAGCACGGCTTCGTGCCGCCGTATCGACGCAACCTGATCGACCCGGAGGTGCGTTCTATACACTGGTCCCCATACGACCGCGTTGGCGTGGTGAACGCCGATCCTTAAGGACTTTTCCCGGCGCATCTCTCCGCCCACACCTCGCTTTCAATCCCCGCCCACGGCGCCTTTCAACGCCACCTGACGCCTTTCAACTCCACCCCGACTTTCGCTTGTATGGAACGGCCCGGAGGGGCTCGTGTCCTACCTCCAGCGCAAGCTGTACCGCGAGCGTCGATGCGTGTTCTGCGACCGCGTGTTTGGTACCCTGGAGGGCGTCCGAGGGCACATGCGCGATAAGCAGCACGTGCGCATCAAGTTTGAGCCGCTGAGCGCCTCAGAGTTGGGTGCGTCCTGGTCGCGCGCGCTGGTCCCCGTATACGACCGCCTTCGCGCGGCGCGCGCAATTCCTTGAGGACTTTTGGGTCCCGCGCGCGTGTCTCTCCGCCCAGGGTCCCTCGCTGCTTTCAATCCCGACGCTCACACCTCGACGCCTTTCAACTCCGCTTCTGACGCCTTTCAACTCCACCCCGACGCCTTTCAACCCTCAGAGCTCTTCGCGGAGGACTACGCGCCGGAGTACTCGGAGTTTTACGACTTCGCGTCGAACGACACCGCCGCCGCCGTCGTCGTCCCCTCGGACTACACCGCGGTCGGATCCACCGCGAGCCTCGCGGGTCTCGAGCTCGTGACGCGCAGCGGGAAACAGATCGGCCACAGGAACTTCCGGAGGTACTACAAGCAGCGGTTCAGGAACGATTACGTCGCCAAGGGGGCGTCGAACAGAGAGCGCGAACGCGCCGTCTCTGTCGCGGTTCGACTCGCGACGCGCGAGAGGAACAAACAGCGCAACGAGGTCCTCGCGCGGTCGATGCGGATCGAGCGGAGAGGGATGAGCAAGGCGATCGCGAGCCAGTTCGCGTTTAAAGCCGGCGCCGCGGATAACGCGGCGAGACGCGCCATCGTGCATCACTGGGGCGCCGGCGGTGGCGGAAGTCACTATCACAACAGCGGTTCTAAGCAATTCTTGAAAGGGGTGCGCGTCAAGGGCGTGGTGTCGAGGCACTCGAAGCAGGGCGCGAAGATGCAGGCCGCGCGCGTGCAGGCGGCGAGGAACCGGAGCAACCGCGGAAATGCGTCCGTCGCGGTGCTCAGGTCGTCCACGAGGAAGGGGTAGCCCTAGCTAGAGAACGGGGGGCGCGCGCGCGGCGCCACCCGCGAAGGATTTTTTTGTAAAAGAACAGAACGAAAAAAGGACGCACATCACAACGCATGTCGCCTCCGCCGCCCGCGCCCTCCGAGGCGTGGGTCCTGCGCTCCTCGCCGTCGGAATGGGACGCGCACGCGCGGGAGGCGACCGCGGCGCGCGTCCACGGGCTCTGCGTCCTCGACGTTACGCATCGGAACATCTTCAGCTACGCGCAGGGGTCGATGGATCTCATCCGGTGCGTTCATTACAGAGTGGTCCCCATACGACCCCGTTCGCGTGGTGAACGCCGTTCCTTAAGGACTTTGCCCGGCGTGTCTCTCCGCCCATCCCTTGCGTTCAATCCCCGCCCTCGACGCCTTTCAACTCCATCTGACGCCTTTGAACTCCACCCCGCCATCGCTTTGTATGGAACGACCCTCAGGAAGGACCTCGACGCCGTCCTCCCGCCCGCGATGGTAAAAGACGCGACGCGCGTCTGCGACGCCGCGCGCCTTGACGACGCGTTCGAGGTTCGACGGAACGTCGTGAACCTGAAGAAGGTGCTGCTGCACAGCTGGCACCGCGCGGAGCCGCTGGAGAAGGAGCTCCGTCGTCTCTCGACGTTCTACCGGTGCGCGCGCGCGCATCATCCATCCCAGATCCATCCGTCTGGTCCCCATACGACGGCGTTCGCGTGGTGAACGCCATTCCTTAAGGACTTTTCCCGGCGTCTCTCTCCGCCCATCCTCCGTCGTCGTCCGCGTCCCCCGCCGCGCCGCGCTGTCCGACTGACAGGACCTCCACCGTTCCGTCGTCCAAACCCCTCCCGCACGCGCAGACGCGACGCGTCGTTCGAGACCGGGTTCGCGAACGTCCACCGGTACAGGGACGTGTGCGTGGCGCATCAGCGCTTGAAAGGCGCGACGCACGCGGTGTTCGACGGGCGGATGATGATGAAACAGATCGCGTGCGTTGCGCGGCACCCGTCGGTCGAGCGGTGTAAGAAACTGAGGGGGCTCCCGGGGACGCTGACGACGTCGAGCTGGCTCGCGAACGCGCGGAGATTCTTGGGCGACGAGGGCGTGGACGGGTTCGCGGAGTTCGCGGGCGGGAGAGGGAAGGGGAAGGGCGACGGCGGCGGCGCGGCGGAGGCGAGGGCGGAGGAGGAGGAGGAGGATGAGGAGGAGGAGGCGCCGGACGCGGACGCGGACGCGAACGTTTACGACGACGACGCCAACGCGGTGCGCGCACAGCTGGCGTCGTTCACCTCGCTCGCCGCCTCCTTACTCCCGGGATGGCCCGCACACGCGCTCGCCTACCTCGAGCGCGCGCTCGTCGCGCGCGGCGGCGCGAAAGCGCTGTCCATCAGGCGCGTTCTATACACTGGTTCCCATACGACCGGGTCGGCGTGGTGGACGCCGATCCTTAAGGACTTTGCCCGTCGTCTCTCTCCGCCCAGGGTCCCTCGCTTTCAATCCCCGGCCTCGGCGCCTTTCAACTCCATCTGACGCCTTTCAACTCCACCCCGACATTCTCTCGTATGGAACGACCCTCAGAGCGGAGACGGCGACGCTGTCGAAACATTTCGCCGCGCTCGCCGCCGGGTTCGACGCCGCGATCGCCGCGATCGAATCCACCGCGCGCTCGGTCGAAGACGTCCTTCTGAACGACGTCGGCGCGCGCGGCGACGGCGCGCGCGTGTCCCCGAGCGAGTACGCGCGCGCCGACGCGATCGACGAGCTGCAACGCGCGGGCCGCGCGGATAAGGTGCGTTCTATCCCTTCCCGCGCGCTGCCTTAAGGACTTTGCCCGCGTGCGTTTTCTCTCCGCGCACCCCTCGCTATCAATGCCCGCCCGCGACGCCTTTCAACTCAAACTGACGCCTTTGAACCTCACCCCGACGTCGCTTCGTGTGGAACGACCCTAAGCACTTACGGCTGTTGCAGGGCGCGGCGCCGGCGACGCGCGAGCTCTCGCACTGGCTCGACGAGATCCTGACGCGCCCGCGCGCGCGTCTGTTCGTCGCGGGCGACGCCAGCAGCGGCCGCGCGACGGACTTCGTCCCCGCGGGGTTCGAGATCGGCAACGCGATCGCGTCGTACGCGCGAGTAGTCAGGCGCGTTCTATACGCCGGTCCCCGTACGACCGCGTCGGCGCGGTGAACGCTGATCCTTGAGGACTTTACTTCCCGGCGCATCTCTCCGCCCACCCCTCGGTTTCAATCCCGACACACCGCGACGCCTTTCAACTCCGCTTCTGACGCCTTTGAACTCCACCCCGACGTCGCTTTGAACGATGGAACGGCCCTCAGACGATGGTCGCCGGGGATGCGGGAGGTTCTGCGCGCCGCGTGCGCCGCGGGCGAATGGCCGCCGTCCGGCCCCCTCATGTATATGTCCGGCAGGCAAAAGTGCAAGCACTGCGAGAAGCGGTTCAGTAACCTGTGGGTCACGAACGCGTCGTGCTTCGAGTGCGAGACGCGGAAGCGCGACGCCGGGGAGTGCCCCGTGAGCGCGCGGGGGAAGTGTCCGAAGAGGGCGTTTTGTCCGCACGAGAAGAAGTGCATCGCGTGCGAGCGCGCGTCGTGCGAAGCGTGCGGGATAACCTGCGGCGACGGCGACGACGTCGCGTCGTTGATCGAGTCCACGCGCGCGCGGTGCGTGTTTTTGGACTTCGACCGGACGTTATGCAGCACGAAGACCGGGGCGTCGCCGCTGCACGGGAGAGGGCACTCGTTGGACGCCGATCTCGCGGGCGTCGCGGCGTCGCATCCGTCGGTGCACGTCGTGACTCGGAATTCGCACGTGGAAGACATCCGCGCGTTTCTGACGCGCGAGGGCGTGCCGCGCGGCGTGCGGGTGCACAACGTCGGGAGGGGCGTCAGCAAAGGACGCGTCATTCGAGAGATCATAGACGCGTTTGAAAAAGAAAAGGAGCGAGGAGACTCCGGCAGCGGCGGCGATTGCGATTGCGGATTGGCGATTGCGGATTGCGGCGGCGATCGCGGCGGCGATTGCGGCGAGAGACGCTACGTCTTCGCCGACGATAGCGTCGTGGAGCTTCTCGACGCGGACGTCGCGAGCGTCGAGGGGCTCGTTCGAGTGCTCTTCAGCCGCGCGCTGGCGTGACGGGGAAAATACGGTAGCTAGGGGTAGAGCTTAGCGTGCGTAGCTTAATTATTCTGGGCGCGAACGAAACGCTCACAGAAAACGGCCGACCTCAGCCGTGATGCGACCGTTTGTGGGCGCGCCCCTTTCCGTCGTCGCCACAACGCCGCGCGCGATGCCGCCTCACGCGTCGTGGCGCGCGCCTCCGCCGCCGCGGCTCTCCTCCCGCGTGGCGCGCCGCCGCGCGGCGTCGATCGCGCCCGCGCCGCGCGCCTTCTTCGACCGCCGCGCGCCGTCGCCGTCGTCGTCGTCGTCGTCGTTCACGCTCTTCGACCTCGAGCGCGAGATCGCGAGCGCGCCGCCGTCGACGTCGCGCGAGGCGACGAGCGTCCTGTCCCTCCCCGACGCGGTGTGGAAAGTCACGAAAGACGTCCCGCTCTCCCTGCGCGACCGCGCGGCGTGCGTCGTCGCCGCGGAGGCGGTGCAGACGCAGTGCGACCTCGGTTTAGACGGCGCGTCGCTCGTCGTCGCGCTCGCCGTGCGCGAGGCGCTCCGAAGGAACGGATTCGACGGACCGGGGACGCGCGTCCGAAGCGGGTACGTCTCCCGCGGCGCCATCGCGCGCGCGCACGCGTGGCTGGAGATCGACGGGCGCGTGCTGGACGTCTGCGACGACGGTCTCGCGCTGTGCGAGGCTGCGCGACGCGCGAAGGTGGACTACGGCGACGCGCGAGCGATGCGAGAGGCGTTCGGCGACGACGCGTTGCTCGCGGGAGAGTATTCGCCGAAATCGCGCCGGCCGCTGACGGTGTTGGACGTGAAAGTCCCCGTGGGCGGAGTCTCGACGAAGACGTCCGCGGCGGGGTTGACGCTGACGCCGCCGCCGTCGAACGTCGCGGGCGCGGCGGAGGCGGTGGCGACGAATGAAAAGTTTAGGCGCGTCCCACACACTGCTTCCCATACGACCCCGTTCGCGTGGTGCACGCCGTTCCTTAAGAAGGACTTTGCCGGCGCCCTCTCCGTCGCTCTCTGTCGTCCAATGAAACATCCACGTCATCAAATAACTAACCAATCACATCACTTCCCGCCACATCACCCACCAATCAAACGACCCTCAGACGCGTCGTGGCGACGGCGGAGGGGTGGGGGCCGGATGCGTGGACGAGCGAGCTGCCCGAAGACGTCGTGGACGCGTACGAGCGGATAGCGGGGGTGAGGTTGGAGACGGTCGAGGACGAGCGCGAGCGCGCGCTGCGGTTGAGCCGGGGATAGGGAGGGGAACGATCGCGTTCGGTTCGGCGCGGTTCGATTCGGTTCGGTTCGATTCGATCGGTTCGGTTCGATTAGATTCGTATACCAAACCGTGCCTGGCGCGCGACTATCGCGCCGGCGGTGTCCTATCTATGTCTATCTACGCTAGCATCTTAGTCTAGTAGTTGTCTTTCTTCTCGAGCTCGCGCGCGCGCGCGTCACATGACGACGCAGCTCTTGGATTTCGCGCCGTCGTCGTTCGCGTTCGCGCTCGCGCTCGCCGCCGCGCCGGCGACGCGCGCCGCCGCCTTCACCTTCTTTTTCGCCTTCGCGCTCCCCGCCGCGGCGTCCGCGTCCTCTTCCTCCTTCCCCGGCGGCAGCGGCGAGACCTTCGACGACGCCCTCGCGCCCCTCGCGGCCGAACCCGCGCGCGGCGGCGTCGGCGTCGCGACGGGTATACCGTTCCAAGTCAGTACTTTCGGTAAGAGCTCGCCTCTGCCGTGCTTCCACAGGTTCCTCGGCTTGCTCGCGGACGAAGACCGCGGCGTCGAGGCGGCGGCGACGATCTCGGACGGGGTCTCGACGACGACGCGCAACGTCGCGTCGTCCGAAGAAGAAGAAGTAGAAGTAGTCGCGGCGGTGCCCCTACTGCTCGGGATCCCGCTCGAGGACGTCGCGACGGACGACTCCGCCGGCGTCACGGGCGACCGAGGGCTCTCGTTCCCGCCGCCGCTACCGCCGCGGTTCTTCGTCTTCGCGAGGATGCCGACGCGCGAACGCTCCCACCGCGACGACGCCGTCACGGACCCGAACTCGCGCCCGAACACGTCCTCGAGCGTCGACCGACGCCGCGTCGACGCGGAGGGCGAAGAAGAAGAGGGCGACGACCCCGACCCCGGTCGCGACCGCCCGCGCGCGCCGCGCGTCGGCGTCGGCGCCGCCGCCGTCGCCGCCGCCGCCGCCGCCGCGCGGTCCCTCTCCACCGACCGCATCGCCGCCTCCTTCACGAGCACGGCCACCTCGAGCGCCTTGGCGACCGGCCCTCGAGTCTCCTTCTCCAGCGCGACGCGTTTCGAGCGCAGGTCGCGGATCACCGGGCAGCCGTCGTTACCACCGTCCGCGTCCGCCTCCGCGTCCTCGCGCGCCAGCGCCCACGTCAGCGCGTCTCTGGACACGGTGAACGACGCGACGCGATTCATGATGGCGTTGGCGTCGGCGAGAAGTTTCGCGATGTCCGCGGACGCGCCCGTCTCGATCGACGACTTCTCCGGGTTCAGACGCTCCAGCGTGATCGCGTCCTGCGTCGCCCTCAAGCGCGCGCGCTCGGTGAAGATGTCGTCGTCCAAACGCGCGACGCGCGCGCGGTAGCTCTCGAGGAGCGACGCGATCTTCGCGTCCGTCGCGGCGATTTCGCGGCGAATCTCGGAGGTGAACGCGTCGAGCCGGTTCCGCGCGACGTCGCGTTCAAACTTGACAACCTTCGCGCGGTGCGCGTCGGCGTCGCTCGCGAGGCCCGAGATCCCGCGCGCGATCGCGGCGTGGATCGCGCGGCGGCGCTCGGCGGCGACGCGGAGCTCGCGGTCGTCGTCGTCGACGACGGCGGCGGCGCGCGGCCGCGGCGGTCGCGGCGGTCGCGTCGGTCGCGTCGTCGGCGTCGGCGTCGGCGGCGGCGGCGGCGCCGGTCGGTTCGCCGCGACGGCGGCGGCGACGACCGTCATCGACCGGCGTCGATGCGGCGGCGTCAGCACGCCCGGCGGCGGCGGCGTCGTCGGCGCGCTCGGCGACCGTTCCGGCGGCGAACCGACCGGCGTCGGCGTCGGCGCGCGCGCGGAATTTTTCGCGTTGAGTTTATCGTGGATCCACCACGCGAAATCGCCCGCGGCGTCCGCCTCCGACGCGAGCGTCATCGCGTCGACAATCTCCGGCGCTTCGAGCGCGTCCTCTTTTGCGTCGTCGCCGCCGCCGTCGTCGCCGCCGCCGCCGCGCTCGACGTCGTCGGGACCGTCCACCGCCGTCGCGGCTTCCACGCACTCGAAGAGAAACGTCTCCCCGAACGCCTCAGGGCCGTTCCATACGAGCGATTGTCGGGGTGGAGTTGAAAGGCGTCAGGTGGCGTTGAAAGGCGTCGAGGACGGGGATTGAAAGCGAGGGGCGGGCGGAGAGAAACGACGGCAAAAGTCCTTAAGGATCGGCGTTCACCACGCCAACGCGGTCGTATGGGGACCAGTGTATAGAACGCACCTCCGCGACGTACGCCGCCGCTTTCGTCGACGCGGACGCGACGACGCCAATCGTCCGCAGCGCTGAAACGCACAACGCCGAGCGGTTACGGGTACGGTTTTTTCCTCCCCGACTTCGACGGCTCTCGAAGTGGAAGTACGCGACGGCGGGGAGGAGCTCCGCGCACGCCACCGCGAGCGCGCGTTTCGACGGCGACGCCGCGCGCGCGTCGGCGTCCTTCGCTGGCGACTTCTGTTTCCCCGCCGCCGCCGGCGCGGCGCCGCCGCGGACAAACGCGCGCACGAACGCGAGGAGGTTCTCCGCGATCGTCGCGCGCGCCGGGTTGGACGCGCGCAAAGATTCGAGCGCCTTCCGCGCGGTGATCAGCGCTTCGTCGTCCAAGAGAACCTTGAGGTGCGAAAACGCGACAGACGTCGGCGTTGATAAACGCGTCTTCGCATTTCCTCCGCCGCCCTCGCCTCCGCCCGCCGTCTCCGCGATGCGCCGCAACGCCCTCGACGCGCACACCCCCGCGTCAACGTCCTCCTCGCTCGCCTGCCCGCACACCGGCGGCAACGCTTGCGCGCACTGAGTGAGGGTAATTAGTGTCCACACGAAACGACGTCGGGGTGGAGTTCAGGGGCGCGTCAGTCGATGAAGGCGCGAGGCGTCGCGGCGCGTCGGAATTGATGAAACCGAGGGACGGGCGGAGAGATGCGCCGGGAAAAGTCCTTAAGGATCGGCGTTCACCACGCCGACGAGGTCGTATGGGGACCAGTGTAAGAAGAAACAAAACAAACAAAACGGCGCGCGGGAAGAAAAGCAAAAGCGACCGAGGAGGACGCACCTCCCGCACGAACCCCGTCTTCATCGCGACCGTCGCGCACGCCGGAAACGCCCCCTCCGCCGCCGCACAAAGCGCCCTAACCGACTTCGACCGCATCTCGCGTATGAACTCGTTCCCGAGACAGTCCACCGCGTGCGATATCGCGGCTGGAATCTGCGACGCGATCGTCGCGTCTCTCGCCGCGAGCGCCGCGGACGCGTCCTCGTCGCGTTGAACGTCCTCGCACGCTTCCACGGTCAACAGCGTCGTCAGCACGCGCAGCGCGACCGGCGCGAGCGGGTCGCGTTCGCCTCGGTTCGCGAACAAGCGCAGCACGGGCTTGACGCACCCCGCGTCCGTGAACGTTCGCTTGCACGCGGCGTCCCCGCGCAAGAGCCGGGACCAGCACCTCGCGACGTGAATCAGAAACGGTCCGTCGCGACCCGCGGACTCGAGCTTCCTCCCGCGCCGCGTCATGCTCTTGAGCGCCTTAAACGCGGGGATCCCGATGCGCGCGAACGCCATCTTGATCGACGCGTCCGCGGCGACGTTCGCGAGCGCCTCCGCCGCGCGGTGACTCGTCTCGTCTCGCGGGCCGCGCGCGACCATTGCCAACAGCTTGCGGAGTCCATCCGCGGCGAGGAGCGCGTCGCACGCGAGCGCGTCCGGGGCGTCGTCGTCGCCGTCGCCGTCCGGGGTCGTGATCGCGGAGAGGAGTTCGAGCGCGGCGGCGTGGACGTCGCGCGGCGCGGGAAGCATCGGCGGCGGCGACTCGAGATCGTCGTCGTCGGCGTCGGCGGCGTCAGCGTCGGCTTCGTCGTCGTCGTCGTCGTCGTCGTCGTCCCCTTCCTCATCCCGCCGCCGCCGCCGCTCGTGTCTCTCGATCTCCGCCTCGCGCCGCGCGTCGTCCTCCGGGTCATCTAGGATGTCCACCACGTGCTCGATCACGCCCGTGCGCAGCACCGCGGTCGCGGCGTCTTTGGATCGACGCGCGACGGCGATCAAAACGCGCATCGCCGCGCGCGCTGCGCTCTCGTCGCGCTCCAACGCCATCCGCGTCGTCTTCTCGAGCTCGCGCGCGTCCTCCACGTCTCCGCGCGTCACCATCACCCCCGGGACGTCGCCGTCGCCGTCGCCGGGCCCAGGGTCCGCGTGCTCCGCCTCCAGACGGACCTGGCGCCACAGCGCGTTTAGATGCGGCGCGCGACGCGCGCGGTACGACGCGATCGCGTCGGCGAGTCGTCGGTGCGCTCCGGAGGCGAGCAGCCGCGCGATGACGCGTTCGCGGTCGTCGCGGCGGACGTCGCTCGCGACCGCGCGCGCGAGCTCTTCCACGGCGGGGCCGTACTCTGTCGCGGGGGAGGTTGGGGAGGTGGGGGGAGGGG